AGCGATGCTGAGCATCTCGACAGAAACCCGTCGGTCCAGGGGCACTTGCAAAGTCGTGCTCTGCTGGTGCAGAGGGACCATGTTGTCGTTGCCTGACTCCATGTAAAGTCCGTAGAAACTCCACTGGACCGGGTCCCTGTCGACGAAGTTGCTCCCTGTCACCCAAGTCCAGTTTGACAAGGACACTGGGGTCGACAGTCGGATGTGAAGTCCACCAGAAACGTGTATGCTGGACTCAAGCCACTGAGTGGAGACATCTCCATCTACGGCTTTGCCTGGCTCCTCGCCCGACGGGCTACTCCCCTGCCCCCAGGACGAAGCCTGTGCCCCTAAGGCCACCAAGTCCAGTTCTGCAGAGCTACCATCCCAGAGTTGGATCTCTGAGACTTGGACCTGATCCCCGTTACGCACTGCTGTTGTCTCGAAAAGGAAATCCTGAAACTGCGCAGCCAGTGGCAAGTCCAATATCGAATGCCGACGGATGTCAGGCACATTGGCCGGGTTTGAGTTTTTGTAAACCAGCACCCAGGTCACAGCGTCTTGCGACAGCAGAAGCTCAAACTTCACTGGATCTCTGTCACGACGGTCCTCCGCCAAGAGGATTCCGCAATACCGAATCGCAGTGTAAGGTGTAGGCAAGCTGATGATCAAGTCTTGCCTGTTGTAGTCTAGCCATTTCGTGCCTGATTTGTCGATGGCAAAGGATGGAGGATGAACACCGCCGTGGTTGTCGCCATAAGGATTAGTGGCTGTGGCAGCGGGGAGATCTACCTGATTCTGATCCGGGTCTTGCAAGTAGACTTCAGAGAGCTGCACGGAGTCTGTATTCGCATCCCGTGTGTCCACCGTGCGAAATCTCGCATATTGTGCGAAGTATGTGAACTCTGCCAGGCCTGTGCGCAAACCCAGCATCGAAGCCATTACCCTGAGGACCACGAAGCGCATGGCGAAGTGAGCTGTGGCTCGGCACTGGCCACCGTAACCACGCGGTATGCACCCAAACAGGCCACTCGCTGAAGACTAAGAATCTCTCAGTTCACGCTTGCACTTGCACGCTTGCTACTTTCCTGTTGCTGTGCGGCACTGTCTTAGCATAGGGTTTGGTCCTCGGACGACCCACACGATGTTCTCGTTTCTCAGGTTTGCGGACCGGTGCCGGTTGATGAACAACTATGCAGTCAAGCATAAGGCACAACACAGACCATAGACTACCCTGCAACCCTGACCCTCAACCCCACACATGTATGGCATGCTGGCCCCACGTAACAAGCCCAGGCAACGCGCCAACGCAGCTCGGAATCCGAGATTGGATGGTTCAATCGTGCAAAGCTGAAACCCCCCTTCTGGTCTTATGGGTCTTGAAGGTAGTATCGCAAGTAATTAGTTTGAGGTGTTGTCCAGCGCCCTTGTCAAGTGCTTCGGGCGGACGCATGAGATTCTCGTCCTGCAGAATGTACAATAGATTGCTTTGCTTTTGCTTCGTCACCCTGAGTTCAGTGTCGTTCTCAAGATTGTGTTTGGCGATAGAGAAGCACTTGCAGTTCTCGAGTTCCAGCATATCCATGCATGCTAGAAGTAAACATTCTTGTTCGCTGGGCTTCTTGCGATAGGGAAACCCCGCAGTCAGGAAAGCGGCGTCGTACTGGAAGTTGCCCATGCCTTCGCACTGCCCTTGTACAACGAAATTGTAAACTACAGTGATCTATCGCGACACCCATCCCCAACCCTAGCCGCCTGCTTCGCGAGGAGCCAGGCGATAACCTCGAACAAACTCGCAGGTTCAGGGGTTTGGCCGTTGCCGCTTCTTTGGCTTGTCGCCAGATCTTTCACAACACCAGACGCCCACCCCATACTAAACAGCCCATATGCTGATCGCTCGGTGACAAAATTTTGTCGAACACCCAAGACTCCAAGTCCTCAACCCGTCACCAGCGCCCCGGAACCCCACCTTTTGGTTACTAGGGAATGGAGGAATGGGGTACCATTATAGCTACTATTGCTACCATATTACTACAGTATTACTACAATATTACTATCATATTACTACCATATAGCTACTATTACTAACATTCTTCCATTCCCTACTAACCAAAGACCCAGCCCTTTCATGTCCCCGGCCTCAGAATGACCTCCAAGCGAGGCGAGGTAGAGCGCTGTGGATCCACCCACCATCTCCTGTCCCACTTCAGGCGTCCGAGCACAGCATAGGCACAGTCAACTTTAGCTGAATTTCGACTCGCACACTCGCACTGGGCAGTCAGGAATTCATGAGGTCGGGCTTGCTACTGCGACAGAGGTGTGACAGGATATGCGAGCTTCAGGGGAAGCAAAGACAAAGTCTAACTCATCAAATGTAAGAACCTAATAGGGGACCCTAAATAGTAGGATCCTGTTTATAGGGATCCCAAAATAAGGTACCCCCAAGTTTCGGAAACTCCCTTGTTGAATTTTGGGTCCTTAATATAATACGGCACCTAATCTTTAGGGTACGCCAAAAAGGGGACCCTAATTTTGACAAGCACCCATATGGGAGTTTTCGAAACTTAGGGGTACCTTATTTTGGGGTCGTTAGGGTACTATATTAGGGTCCCCTATTTTCGGAAACGATCCCTTTAAAGGAACCCTAAGGTACCCCTAATTTTCGGAAACCCTAAACCCTAAACTCTTTATGGAACCCTTATAGTAACCTTATAGATCCCTTTAAAGGAACCCGACTAGGGCATATCCCTACTTGTCGGAAACTCTAAGCCCCAAACCCGTTATAGAACCCTTATAGATCCCTTTAAGGAACCCTTTAAAAGGTTATAGATCCCTTTAAGGAACCCGTTAAAAGGTTATAGATCCCTTTAAGGAACCCTTTAAAAGGTTATAGATTATAGATCCCTTTAAGGAACCCTTTAAAAGGTACCCCCCAATTTTTCGGAACATCTGTGGATTTTTTCCTGAGCGATGCACTTATGACTCAAAGAGCAGAGGCTAGACTCGTCGTCGGAATGGTTTGGGAAGCTGGTATTTTTAAAACAGACCCGGTAGTAGTAGTAATAGAATAATAATAATAGTAGTAGTAGTAGTAGTAGTAGTAGTAGTAGTAGTAGTAGTACTACTAGTAGTAGTAGTAGTAGTAGTAGTAGTAGTAGTAGTAGTAGTAGTAGTAGTAGTAGCTTCTTCTGGCTTGCTGTGGCACACGTGATGCTGCTTAGAATGCTTTTACTTTAAGCATAGAGCCCGTCCTTGTGCACATCTGCACGGCCGGCCAGCAACCAAGCCACTGCTTCCGTATGCCCACTCTGCGCAGCGACATGGAGGGCTGTTCCACCGCTGCGCGTGGTTTCGTTGACATCGGATCGTGCAACGAGCAAACGCGCCACAGACTCCGAATGACCGTGTAGAGATGCATAGTGCAACGATGTCGCACCATTCTCAGCTGTCACGTTCACGGAAGCACCCTGAGCCAGCAAGCGAACGATCACCTCAATGTGACCGCTTTGTGCAGCCATGAACAGCGGGGTGATGCCACCTTCCATTACCGCGTCAACTTCTGCACTGCCAGCAAGAAGCCAGGCTACCGCTTCTGTGTGGCCGTTCTGTGCCGCGACGTGCAAGGCGGTACCACCTCCATCCACCGGCAGGTTTACGGCAGCTCCGCCTGCAAGAAGGCGAGCAACGGCATCAGCATGTTGGCCTTGAGCGGCGATGTACAAGGCTGTTGTCCCACCCGGTGCCAGCTGATTCACGTCGGCAGCAGATGCCAGGAGTCTCGCGATGACCTCTGCATGACCATTGTGTGCTGCCATGTGCAACGGAGCCACTCCACCAAGACTGGTCCTGTTCACATTCGCCCCGCTGGCGATGAGCCGCTGTACATCGGAAGAATTGCCAGCCGCGGACGCGGCATGCAGTGAGCCCCGAACACCTTCAGGCCGAATGCGATGGTAGATTTCTTCGCCTGAGATATGACCGAGCCCGAGGCTCTGCAACACCTGCAACACACACACACACACACACACGGAAAAAGGCCTTCTGCGCATATTCTCCGATCCTAGTATGCTCTTGCAGTGAAGCATCCCGAGTCAGGATTCACTTCGAAGATCCCCTCTTCCAGGAGAGATGTGTTGCAAATTGGGCAGGAAGCTTTCACCCGAAACCATGTCCTTGGTAGGTGCGCTTTTGTGGAGCCGCGCACTCTATCCTTGCCATGCATATGATCCAATCCGAGCTTCCGGATGCATTCCCAGTGGAAGGTATGGACACATCCGGTTTCCGGAGCCGCTTGCGAGCGCCGCTCGGAGGCAAGGATTTCCTCCAGGCAGACGGCGCAGGTCACCTGCCAAGTGGCGGCTTCTTACGCCCATTGTTTCTGGCAAGTGGCCAAATGGGACTACATGGACAACGAATTTTGCATGCCTTGCATCCGAGAAATGGTTGTACGTAATCTTAACTCAATCTGACTTTGGCCCTACCCTTGCATTCGATCTTGCTGACTTTCCTGATGACTGACTATGCCAAGCAGTTGCGCCTACGCTGGAACGAAGGGTTCTGTCGACGTGTGTGTTTGCGGACGCACAGACCAAGTGTCGTTTCACAGCACGGTTGTAGTACGGTGCTCTATCACAGCTACTGCATGCTATAGTGCACAAGCCAATCAGTCTTATCTTGGAGATCACACGCAAGGCACTGGCCTCTTACCGTCTACACGTGTACCACCCCTACACAGGTCCTCACTCATCGCTTCCGGCAGTCATTGGTGGAAGCGGAAGGCGACGTGCACATGGCTCGCCATGCCGCATGTCTCATAGATCCTGATTTAACTCTGTAGAAGCATCTCAGAACTCGCAGGAACGGGTTTTGCTTGTCATCCCTTATAAGTTCGTGTCTGTGCTGCCTGCAAGGGGCTCTCGCGGGCCTCGAGCCTTTAACGCAAGATCGCGCAGGTAGTTGAATGTTCAGGACATGCACAAGAATCGAAGTGACCAATTTGCCACTCAGCTGAGGCCCCTTACTTAACGAGATCACGTCTACGGTGATCTGGAGCCGCCACATCCTCAGTGGGCTCGGGCTTGTGCAGGTTTCGTTGTATACAGCTGCTTGGTGCGAGTAGGGCATTCAGCCGAATTTTTTGTTTCATCATACTATGCCGCTCCTTATCAGGGTTCAAAAAGTTCTTTGAAGCAGGGGTGCTTGGGCTCTCTGCGAATGTTAAAGCCGAGCTGGGGGCGCTGTGAGCAGGCGTAGTGTCGTGGCCCAACCTCGAGTCAAGCACGGCTCTCAGCCAAGCCAGCGGTGGGTGGCGGTGGCGGTGGTGGCGGCGGCGGCCCTTTTCCTCGTTGTACTAGCTTACGGCCTTGACATCTCTAACTCTAACTCCACTCGCCTCCGCCCCCCCGCAGAGCAAACAAAATCCGGACACAAATGCCAAACCCAAGGGCCGTCCAAAGCGAAGTGGCCCGTACCGACTCTCAGTTAATACTAATGTTACGTAATGATGTGCAAATTCCAATACTGATCTTACTGTTACTACCAATGCTTATATGAACACCCGGACACCGATTTTGGGTGTGAACCCACTCGTTTAGATGCGAGTGGTCAGCTTGAGTGTTGGCGCGCCTTACACTACCGATTTCTACTGTCCTGACACTCTTTACCGGAAGGAAATAACAAAGTATTTCGACCCACCCTGACAAAGCCCCAAGCCCCTAAACTAGACATCCCTCAACCCTCACCGTATTTCAACCACAGGCCATGAAACCCTGAGCCCCGATCCAACTAACCCGACCCTAACCCCTAAACTTTACTTAAACTACTCTAAACCAAACGCAAAAACGAGGCCTTTGGAACTCCGCCCTGCTCCTAGAGCCGCATTGAAGCCGATCGTTTCCGCCTCACTTTGAACTTTTTTGTTGGGGCGTTTAGGGGTGTAGTGGTTCTTGAGTTATGAGGGGAGGGTTTTTTCGGTTCTGTAACGGATTTATGCAGGTTCGACAAGGCTTCTACAATCTCTCCGAGCGCCTGTGGGGCCTTTTGCAAACCACGGCACTTGCCTTTTCCTTGCCTTAAACCCTACAGTAGAAGCCAGAAAGTTGGAATATCATTATCCTAAACCCTGTATGGTAAATTATAGGGGATCCTACCATTAATCCATATTCCAACTTTCTGGAGTTCCCTTTAAACCCTAAACCGCCACTGAACCCTCGAAGCAGTCTGTGAGCAGCGCCTCCAAGAGGCGACCTCGCATGGCCCGGAGCACGTCCAAAGCCTGAAAAGGGCATCCCATTTTAGGGGATTACGATCATTACTATTACTATGATTACTACTATTATTACTACGATTACTACTATTACTACAATTACGCTTATTACTGTTATTACTATTGTTACTATCATGAAGATCAGGGTCAGGTCAGGTCTGGGAAAGGAGTGGTGGAGGTATCTGTTGCAAGCCTCTCGTCGCCTTGCGGTGGTCCGTGCTTCTTAGTCCGAACTACCGCTACACGTTGCAACCATTATGGGAGCCGTAAGCTCACTTCTAGTGACCCTGATGTAGGCGTTTGGAAGTTGCCAGGCACATCAACCTCGGAGGTCTGGCCTATAGTACTGTACAACAAGATCATATTAGATCAAGATACCATAGGATAGAACGGGATAGGAACAGAATGGAACAGAGATAAGACTAGAATAGGAACAGAACAGAATTATAGAATAGAATCATAGGTTTATAGAATCGCATAAAGAACCCCCGGAAGCCTACCGAAGCGTAGGGGCACACTGGCTCCGGCACTCCTCAACGATCTGCGTCTCTCTGGGGAAACATCTTCCAAAATCTCTCATGTAAGAAGTATACCATAACAATCTAAAAAGATCCTATAAAATCCCTGATTTTAGGAGGATGCATTGAAAGCCTCTATTAAGTAAGTCGCATAAAGGATGCCGCTATGATTTAGGGTCTATTCCTTACTGTAATTGAAGGATTTGGAAGGTCTACCTATAGTCTCCATTGTAGTTCCCTTTTTTGGTTAACCAGTTTTATGGTTAGGACCCTATAATATAGATTTTGGTTAACCAAAAAAAGGAACTACAATGGAGACTATAGGTAGGGATGAAACTAGGCTTCCGACACCATGCCAAAGGCCGGCCCGATCGTGAGAGCTGGCGAGCGCATTGAAAGAGAAGGCGTCGGGCCTGCGTAGGGCTCTTCTGGGCTCTTGTTAGGGGGTTTAATTAAAGTTACCATAATAAAGAAACCATACTATTTACTATGGATCCCTATTATGGTAACTTAAACTAAGTCCCTCAACAAGAACCCAGTCTTGTAGGAGCCATGGGAGTTCAGGAGGGTTGCTGTGATCAGGGGCTTTCTGACTGGCTCAGGCTCCATGGAGGAAGACTTCCTGCAGGGCGAATTCGATCCTGCGAGCAGTTTCTGGCGACATGCTCTGTCCGTCCCGAGGCGCTTGCGTGCTCCCAGCATCACAGAGCGAGGAAAGGATACCTCAACGCACGATGGCTTCTAGTTTCAGTGCTTCTGAAAGCATGCGGCGCGGAGGGGACAGTTACGCAGAAACCGGGGGCCGCGTACCCCGGGTTCAGGTTTGGAGTGGGTGGGCGTGTATGAAGGAGTGCTGTGCTTCGCCGAAAGACAACTGCCTTCTGCCAGGTCCTGACATACGGTGGGCCCTCCAACTCGTGAATTGACAGTCCCTGGTCCGGTGGCCAAAGACGAAAAGCTCGAATGTGAATAGCTGCTTTTTCTGCTCCCCGACTGCGGCAGATCTGACAAAGCTGAGTTTCTGCATCCGCGCAGAAGGCATAGATGCGAAAATTCTTCCGCGCGAGCTGAGGCTGACTAACTTTAACTGTATCACTGCCGGCTTGTCGCAAGCAGTGTGCTGCAAAGAAATCAGGCACATGCCTGTCGATTGACGGGAAGTTGTCGAGGCCATCAAATGGGTCTCCCGTACATCACGCGAAGTTTATAAAGCCAGTTATATAACAGTCAGCTTGCATACCCGGTTAGGAGTACTGCGGCTTTGGCTTGCTCTGCTGCCTCAAGCCCGTCGTATCGGCACAACGGTCGTGGAAATGCTCCACGCAGTCTGTCTGCCAACTGCGGCAAAATCATCATAGGACATGCAGTCGTTCTCTGCAGACCCATGTGCTGTACGGTAGTTGTCAGACACACTGCAATCTACTGCACCTCTTTTGAGCGCACTGCGATCTGCAAAGCATGTCTTATGCCTTGTCATAGATCAGGTTCCCATCCTCGGCACAGGACACGTTTCGTGTTCGGCTAAACACAAACCTCCAAGCACATGTTACTGTAGTGTTTGCATTGAAGCACCACCAGGTTTACATGAAACAATGGCGAAGGCATCCACAGGCAACAACAACAACAACGAACGACTCCCTCTTGCCCAGTAGTCGTCACTCTAGCTCGAAAGACAACACGCAGTCTGTCATGCAAACATGGCAACAGATATAGTGACAGCAACATGACGCAGCATGTCGAAAATGAAAAGATGCCCAGCCAGCGAAACAGTGTCGTAGAGCCTTATAAGCAGGCTCAACAATACCAGTACTCTCAAGAGTAACCTTCCTAGACCCTCGCCTATCCAGAAATCAAGCCGAAAACGCAGTCTCTTGTCCTTAACATAAGTGTTATTCATTAGCGTAACTAATTAATATTTATATTCTTTAGTATACTTAATTAGTCTTATTAATATCATTTAAGACTAATTAATATCATTTAATACCTTTTGTCCGTCATCCTGCAAGGCTGCCAGCTGTACATGCGGCAGGCGGCTCTGTCCACCGGGAAGCTTCTCTTTAGCACAACAGAGGCCTATAAGGTTTTGGGTTAAGCTATACCTTAAACTACCAAACCCTACTTTTTTGTAGGTTCGTATTATAAACCCGAATATGGAATTTATAGGGACCCTACAAAAAAGAAGGTTTTGGTAGGTCAAGCTATGGATACTGAGACTGATCCCCCCTAATCGTACACCCAAAATCCTGCACCCTCGTCACTATGACCCACGACGGGTGAAAGCTTCGGAAATTCCCCGGTCGACGAGCCGCAATAGCAGGTATGCCCTGCATGCCTTCGGCCTGAGGCCACGGCAAGGGGACCAATCCGGGTGTGCGGACGCCGATGATTTCGATAGGGGTATTTTGCGGAAGTTGAGCACTTGCCGACGATTGCTCATGCTTGCAGTTCTAACCGTGGGTCACTTAGTCCTTAAGATGCACACCGCTCAATCCATGGCACGGACAGTAAGACCTTCTTGGGATACGTCGCGAGCCCTCGCTCGACGGGAGGACTCGAAGCGCTGCTGCGTGTAGGAGATTCCGCCGGTGAGAAACTGCTCGATGTTGAGCTGGATGTGTTTCGGCAGCATACCCAAGTTCCTTCGAACCATGACTCGGGCCTTGTCGGAATAGTTGACACAAATGCGGTCAGTGCAGGACAGTTTTGGAGGTTCCAGGTCCGAAAGCACGAAGAAGGCAACCACGAGCCTTCGACCCCTCGGACTCGAAGAGCAGGCCGTGCGAAGAGCAGTCATGCGATGGTAGACGTTGTTGTTAAACGCTATGGCCGTGCCAGCTTGCACATTGATGCTCTTCGACTTGGGGTACTGTGACCCGCAGCCACCAGTCAGCACAGCGGTGATCTCCAAATCGCCACCCGCCAGGCCATCATCGACGAGGGGGTAGTAAAGGCCAACCATCTGAATCCGATCTCGCGGGATTCCTTCGCGGTGCAGCTCGCCAAGAATCTCCTGGCCACTGCCCACCTCATACACCTGCGCCTTGATCAGCACCTTGGATGCTGCATCCAGCGGCTGGTGCAACAGTGCAGCACCAGGAGTGCCATCTTCCGGAGCTAAGCGCGCAAAGAGTGGCCGCATGGCCGTCAACAGCTCGCTCAGGCGTTGGTACAGTGGGTTCGACAAGGCGCGGGGCCCCGTCCATGGGATCCCACTCACCTCGCTGGCAAGCCGCAGCCCCTCGCTAGGAGCTGGCTCTAGCGCAGTAGGAATCCAGCGGGGGGCACCGTCGAAGGGGGGCTCCGACTTCACATGGTGTCGACTCCACGCGATAGTCGGAATGTTCCAGCCAGATGCTACAGCCTCCGGGCTTGGCTTCTCCGATGGCTTTTTCGATGGGAAAAACGTCTCTTCGCTGAACATTGGGTCGATGCTGGCTCGGCTCGGGTCGATGATGTCTAGGATCCGACCGCCGATGCATCTGATCTCCTCCAGCGAAAACTGGAAGTATGCTACATCGGAACGGAGCATACTATTTGTGGCAGACTCATAGGCGACCTGCACCGAGGCTGTGGCCGAGTCAGTCTGAAAAAGCTCTTCGATCTCCATCTCCTGCAGCTTCTTCTCAAGCTGACAAGACTCCAGGGCCTGCTTCAGGGCATCCGCACTCTCTGCACTTTCTGTGCGGATGGTGACCCAAAATCGGCCGGGCTCCCTGATCCTCACCGTCGTCCTCTCCCAGTGAATGTGGCAGGCCTCCTTCAGCACTCCATTACAGGCAAGGATGCCGAGCAGGGCCCGATTCAAAGCCGACGGCTCGAGCACCATGTCCTGCACGCGGCCCTGCACGAACTTGAAGGCCAAAGCGAGCTGGAGGACACCACAGCCTGGATGGTCCTGAATTTTCAAGGTCGTCGCAGCCTCCGGCACCTTCAGGCCAACAACCCTCAGGTCGCGGACGTCCTCCTTTTTTCGGGGGTCTGCCGCTAGGGCCAAAAGCAAACGTCCCAAGTCTTCCTGGCACCCGGCTGGAACAGCTAGCTTCGGCATAAAGGCCGCCACGATTTCCGTCTGCTCCAACTTGATCTGTGGCTTCTGCTGGATTTCTGCGAACTCTTCTGGCCAGACTAAGTCGGAGGTCTTGCGAAATCCCAACAGGAGCACCTTTCGGAGCACACAGACCTTATTGGAGCTTGACGCTGAGCTTTCCGAACCTTGGCAGCCTCTGACCAGCTTCTCCATCTCGCTGAAACTTCTTATCAGGTCTTTGAGGCCTGGCATCGCTGCTTGAACCTAAAACTTGAGCCGTAACTAGCGGTTGTAGGGCTTTTCTACACTGCTGCACCTTGGAGCTGCACAGCTATACAAAGCAAAGCGCAGAAAAAGATCGCAACACTATGCCAACTGTGCTGCGGGGTAATGAGGAATGACCGAGATGGCCTTCCCTGAGCTCGACGACAGCAATACTCCGCCCCGTCCACGAGAAAATCGAGAGTGCGTGTGCAGCCGTGGCACCCGATCGACGTCGATCTTCACCTCAGCCCAGGATTTCTTGAACATAGGGCCTTAATTGCTTAGACCGTTATGTGGCAAGCATCCGCCCCTACCCGGTATGTTGCGAAAGAACTTGTGCTTTTGCTGTGTGATAGAACTTACCAGCGTCCCAGTCTTGCAGTTGCGTATTCTCGAGCTACTAAGGTACAACGTGGAAGACTTTTTGCGGTGCTCCGCAAGGATTGATGGAGTTCTGTGGGCGCTGCTGAATCTATACAGATATCTTGGGGCCTGGACCCTGAATCGAAACCCCAAATGCCGCCTACACACCTAACTATGATTCCGCTATAAATATTTCTTTGCGCAGGCTTGTACGTGCCGTAAGCCCTATCTTACACCTGGTCTACACATATGCCCTTTTGCTGCAGGCTTGCTTGCAAGGACGCATGCCGTAAACCCTAAACCTTAAACCCTAGACCCCTAAACTCCTATATAAACCTTAAACCCTAAACCCCTAAACTCCTAAACTGTAAACCCTTTTTGCAGCAGGCCACCCTAAACCCCAGACCCTAACCCCCCAAACCTCAGACCCTTACCCCTGAACCTTAAACCCCTAAACCTGAAACCCTACAGCCTCTGCTTCCGGGCGGCCGTGTCTCCGTCCTCAAATTCGCCTCGAAGGCCCCGCTGTGCGAGTGGCGTCTCCACGTTCGCGACGATGGAGCGCTTGATCGGCCTCCAGGCACCGCGAAATCCATAGCAAGTATATTATAGGCTGTACATACATACATACATACATACATATATATATATATATATATATATATATATATTTATATTTATTTATACATACATATGTAATTATGTGTATGAATGTGTATGAATGTATGTATATATATATATAGAGAGAGAGAGAGTAGATTTACATGCTGTACTAAGTCATATCAATTGCATTTCTTACTGTGTATATATATATATATATATATATATATATATAACTCTTTCTCATCGTTTTCTATATGATATGGGTGCAAAATGGGATCCTAGAGAGCGAAGAGGAATCATGAAACTACACATATTTCAAGAGTAATGTGGTCATGCGGGAATGAGAATAAACCAGTAGACGACTCATCGAATCATTCCGAGGCTGTCTGAGTTCCCCAACTGCTGCGGAAGTGCAATATGGGGTTTTCCGAAAATTAGGGGTACCTGATTTTGGGGTCCTTATAAT